CCTCGCCTGGCTATTTACAAAAATTATTCCAATTGGATAGAATGGTATAAAAAGATGTGGAGAACCTGGATTGATGTCTGGTCCCTCTCAGTCCCCGAGAACGAACACACTCCCAAACAAAGAACACAAACAAACAACAACCTTCCCCCCCCCACCCCAAGATTTGAAAGTATCTTGTCCCCTTATTGGTCCTTTAGGTCAGATGCCAGCCAGGTTACCTGAGCTTCTTAACCCTTTACAGGGAAAAGGATTTTGGAGTCTCTGGCCAGGAGGGATTTTATAGTACTGTACACAGGACAGCTGTTACCCTTCCCTTTATAGTTATGACAGGGGCGCTCCAGGTCTTTGGCAGCGGGCCCTTCACTAGCTCCGGGTGTCTTCAGCGGCACTGAAGCTTCATCGCTGAAATTCCGCCGAAGACCTGTGGAGCGAGTGAAGATCCCACCGCCGAAGTACCGAAGACCCAGAGCGCCACCCAGTCGGTAAAAGTGCTGCAGCCGGTGGCGCCTTTCCCCCTCCCCCGCTACCCCTGTTCTCTCCAACTCAAGTGAATCCTACATAACAGGGGTCACCAACCTTTCAGAACTGGTGTGCCGAGTCTTCATTTATTGACTCTAATTTAAGGTTTCGCGTGCCAGTAATACATTTTAACGTTTTTAGAAGGTCTCTTTCTATAAGTCTATAATATATAACTAAGCTCCTGTTGTATGTAAAGTAAACAACATTTTTTAAATGTTTAAGAAGCTTCACTTAAAATTAAATTAAAATGCAGAGCACCCCGGACCGGTGGCCAGGACCCGGGCAGTGTGAGTGCCACTGAAAATCAGCACGCGTGCCATAGGTTGCCTACCCCTGCTATATAAAGTAGCAAGCTATTGCAGGTAACATATAAGATAGATGTTAGGAGGGAATTTGAGAAGAAATGAGTAGACCAAAAAGCCCATATACCAAAAGCAGCAGCCTAGGATACAATCCACACATACTACTAGAACAAACAGAGCAATTAAGAACAATGACCAAGATACCCTGTAAGAACATTTTTTAACACAACATACACATATTGTTTCTAGGCATATACTAAAATAAAGCCAATTAACAAAATACAAGCTATGCAGACAATTAATACTTCAAGGAATTAGTTGGAAACAACTGCAAGGATAAAATAGAAAAATAAACACTGGGTAAGAAAAAAAAATCAAGTTTTAAAATATCAGTACATTAAGATCAATTGGACAAGTGAATGGCAGCATGTGGATAAGCATTCAGGAAATAATCACTTATTAATCACTGTGTAGATTATCAATTCACCTTTCACAAAAGGCAAACATTCATCCTCACTCAACTGCCATGTTATTTTTATCTGATTATCTATAATTAGACATTTGAAGATAAAATGGTGGTAATTTGCCTAAAATGCACTTGCCTAAAAATTCTATAAATTTAAAATGTTAATTATACAAGATATATTGGGAAGTGACTGCTACTATGAACTTGTTTGCTCCTAGTAAAAATAATCACCTAACTGTTCTAAAATTAGTAATTTATTTATAGCAAAGAGAGCAAGAGGAGTACTAGATTACTTAGTAAGATGCATACCATAACTATACAGTAAGCAGCAAATTGCTATTAAGAACTATTAAAACTTCAAATCTTAATGCTGCCCAAAGCCAACAAGAGAAACCAATCAAGAAACACCTGCCAGTACACATCAACAGCACACATCTGATCTTAGACACACAGATTTTTTTTCTTGTTAAGCACTCTGGCCTTGGATAAATTGAACTTATTCCTTTAAAAAAAAAAACACTCTTCACTATTGTTAACACCAGTAGTAGCAAGACAGACGCTCTAGGAGCAAATAATGAACCAGTGGTTGCCAGTAGTTTTACCACCATGACATGTGGACCTCCTCTGAGCAGGTATAGATGACAGAGTAATTTAAAACTCCTGGAGCTTTGTTCACACTAGGGGTAAGTCTATACAGCAGCTGGGAGGTATGATCCCAGCTCATGGAGACATACATGCTTGAGCAGAGCTAGTGTTAGTGCCTAAAAGTCTGGATACAGCAGTATGAGGCTCCGGCTAGCTGCCCAAGTAGAACCCTGCAGATATGCACTCTGGTATGCATAACCTGAGCTGCAGCCTGTGTCGCCACAGACACGCAGCAATTTTTAGGAGCCAGCTCGAACAGAGTTTGCACATGTATGTCTACTAGAGTTGCCAATCCTCTTGGTTTCACTGGGAGTCTCCCAGAATTGGGTTCTATCTTCCTGAGGCTAGTGAAGCCAAATGGAGATTTTAGGCCACTAAAAGTCGGGCGATGCAGCAGGGCTAAGGCAGGCTAACTCCCTGCGCTGGCCCCGCATCACTCCCGGAAGTGCCCGGCACATTCGTGCGACCCCTGGGGGAGGGGGCAGGGGGTCTGCACGTGCTGCCCCCCCCACACACCCAAGTGCCAACTCCGCAGCTCCCATTGGCCGGGAACTACAGCCAATGGGAGCTGCAAGGGTGGTGCCTGCAGGCACAGAGCCCCCTGGTCTCCCCTCCCACCAGGCCGCAGGGATGTGCCAGCCGCTTCTGGGAGTGGTGCAAGGGCAGGTAGGGAGCCTGCCTTAGCCTCACTGCACTGCCGCCTGGGAGCCGCCTGAGGCAAGAGCCTCTCGGCCAGAGCCCCACCCCTCACCCCCTCCTGCACTCCAACCCCCTTCCCCAGCCCTGAGCCCCCTCCTGGAGCCAGCACCCAAAAGCCCTCCCACACCCCAACCCTCTGCCCCCACCCTGAGCCCCTTCCTGCACCTCATACCCCCTACCCCAGCCCCCTCCCAGACCCCACACCCCCTCCCAGAGCCCAATCCCCTGCCCCAGCCCTGAGCCCCCTCCTGCACTCAAACTCCCTCCCAGAGCTTGCACCCCACACCCTGTTCTGTACCCCAACACCCTGCCCCAGGCTCAGCCCCCTCCCATACTCCCAACCCCAGCCCAGAGCCCACAGCCCAACCTCCCGCTCCAGCCCAGTGAAAGTGAATGAGGGTAGGGGAGAGCAAGTGACGGGGAGAGGGAGGGAGGAAGGAAGGAAGGGAGGAGAGGGATGGTGTGAGTGGGGCATAGCCTCAGAGAAGGGGGCAGGGCAAGGGTGTTTGGATTTGTGTGATTAGACAGTTAGCAACCCTAATGTCTACACAAACTGGGAATCACATCACCCAGCAGCTGTGTAGACACACTCTACAACTCTATTATATCACCCATGGGGCTGCACCAAGTGGGATTTTTTTAATATAATAATTAATACACAGAACAGCCTAAAGGATTTTTTTAAATATTTTTAAGTAACCTAGACCAAGAAAATATTTCAGACAAACTACAATGGATGACCCAAGAGATGGTTCATTTATAACACAAATTAAACCTAGAGTCCCTGGGCTGACCACTTACACGTTAAAAAAACCCTTTAATGATGTTGCAGAGAACCCCATTCTGCTTTACTAGGCTGACAGCCATGCTCAACCATATGGCTCAATGAAAAAAAAGTTCCTGCATTTTAATGCCTTAAATCTAGTCCCTATATATCATGTGTTCTTGGTCAGTTGCTATCCAAGAGATGGCTGCATTTCAGGGATGAGGTGAACCCCTATACATCAGTTACATTTGTAAAGTGCTTTAGGATCCTCCTTGGAGCTGAGCGTGCTGGATAAGTGTAAGATATTATTATTAGCAACACACCTGAACAGACATCCCGAATTCTAGAGAGGTATGAGATCTGAACCCAGATCAGGCTTTGACAATTCAGCGGTATGTTTAACATAGGCCAAGCCAAAACCCTAGATCCACGCAACCGAAACTTTTTTTCCGTGGAGACAGAGAAGAAGCGGGGGACAGGGACGCACGCAAGGGGAAAGTGTCTCAAATTTGGTTTCAGACTTTGCAGCCCTCTGTCGTTACTAGTGTTCCCCGGAGACCCCGCGCCCCAGTTAGGAGCGCCCCGCGCTGCGGCCATGGGGAGCGGAGGCGGCTGGGCACAAAGCCGCGCGTCAGCCCGTTTGCTGCGGCCCCGCTACATCCCCCAGCTGGGGGCAGGCGGGCCCCTCATTAGAAGCGGTGCCGGGCCTGCTCTGCCCTGGGCTCCCGCTAGACAAAGGAAGGAAGCGGGCGAGAGCTACAGCCTAGCCACCGCCGCTACTCGCCGCACGGGGCCGGGGCCTCGCACCTGCGCCCGGGCCACAGGGGGAGCTGACTTGACGGGCTGGGGGAGGGCGGGTGTCCCGAGCCGGGGCGGTCACTGACCAGGATCCGCTTGAAGAGGTTGCTCTCCTTGGGCGGCAGCAGCACGGACGGCATGGTGCGCTAGGGCAGCCCGGGCAGTGGGGAGAAGACGCGGCTCCTGCCAGTCGGCTGCGGCGGCTCTTTAACTCATTGGCCTGCGCCGCCCGGCCGGCTCCCCTCAATCACCGCGAGCGAGCGAGCGCGGCCCTTGTGCGCAGCTGCCGGGGAGGCCTCGCTTCCCAACTGACGCTGCAAAATGGCCGCTGGGATCCCCCTTGGCGCACGCGCAGATTGTGCTCTATATCCAGCAGCGTCCCGCTGGCCCCGGGGGTGGGGGAGGCATCCCAGGAGGTAGAGGGCTGAGTTTGGCCTCGCCCAGATTTGCCACCAACTCTCGCGATGTTATTATAATAAACCTCGGGATTTGGTGCCAAAGCAGGTCAGTTTTACACCGTTTGTAGCGCTTGTGGTTAGAGAGGAACGCGACCCTCCCTCCCCCAACAAGGCAACATGCCAGGGCAAGGTCTGGTTGGTGGGCTCTGTGGAGGCCTGGGGCTGGCAGTGCAGCGTGGTGTTTGGCAGTGGGGGGCACTGGCAGTGTGTGACCTGTACCTGTAGGGTGACCAGATGTCCTGATTTTATAGAGACAGTCCTGATTTTTTGGGTCTTTTTCTTATATAGGATCCTATTACTCCCCCCCACCCCCGTCCTGATTTTTCACACTTGCTGTCTGGTCAGAGGCGGCTCTATGTTTTTTGCCGCGCCAAGCACGGCAGGCAAGCGGCTTTCGGCGGCGCGCCTGCAGGCAGTCCACTGGTAATGCGGATTCGGTGGCATGCCTGCGGCAGGTCCGCCGGTGCCGCACCATTGGCGTCCCCGCCGCCAAATTGCTGCCGAAGCCGCGGGATTGGCAGACCTCCCGTATTCGCGCCGCCAAAAGCCGCCTGCCTGCCGCCCTCACAGCAACTGGCAGGCCGCCCCTCGCAGCTTGCTGCCCCAGCACGCGCTTGCTGCGCTGGTGCCTGGAGCCGCCCCTGTGTCTGGTAATCCTACATGAGACAGGATGGAAAAATCCCATTATTCTGATTACGCTCTTGCCACTGTCCTTCCTCTTCGCCTTAGTGTCCACTGTATGAAGAACTGTTTGTGCTAGACCCACATCATCTGAGAGCCAGGAATCCCTACTTTCAAAGAGTACAATGCATTCCTCTCTACACAGAGTTTGTGTGACTAGTGGCTGCTAAGATCTGGCTGGAATTTAAGGAGAGGATGGCAGGCTAGTAATCAGACAATTATGATTAGAACCTAGGGATGTCATCTAATGTATTTATTCATTTTTCAATGTTTGACATCTAATGTTAGCTATGTAAAGCTTCCCAGCCATCTCATAAATATTTGTAAGAGTTAGTATTTGTTCCTGGACTGGCAGTGGTTCCTTTACCAAGTGAAGTTTGAGGCTCAAGTGGCTTGCTGCTGTTGACATAATAAGAATTACCTGTTTCCACATTGAGACCTTTGCTTTTTGAAGGCTGTAGCTTCTCTTGAAGGTGTAGATTGGGGAACTGCTTGTAACTTTAGTGGCTTCACAGATGTAAGTTGTCTCTCAGACTTTCCTGGGAAAGGGAACCATCTGAAGGACAAAGTGACTTTTCCTATGTTTTGTGAGAGACAGGGTGGGTGAGGTAATATCTTTTATTGGACCAATTTCTGTTGGTGAAAGACAAGCTTACATAGAGCTCTTCTTCATTTTACATAAATTAACATTCAAAAATAGAACTATAAAACCCACAATTCACTACATTGGCTGGCATCCCCTATATAAAGATGATTTTTTCTAACTTGTCAAAGAAGATGAATACTTCAACATACACTTCAAACACTGTCATAATCAGTAGTTTTCCAAAGAACTAGGCCACAGACTAAAAAAATTTCATTTTCCACACCCTAGTACAGGGTCGGCAACCTTTGGCCTGCGGCCCGTCAGGGTAAGCCCCCTGGCGGGCCGGGCTGGTTTGTTTACCTGCCACGTCCGCAGGTTTGGCCGATTGCAGCTCCCACGTTCCAGGCCAAACCTTGCAGGCTTCTTGCAGCCCCTATTGGCCTGGAATGGCGAACCGTGGCCAGTGGGAACCGCGATCAGCCGAATGTTGCCGATCCCTGCCCTAGTACAATATCCTACTCACATGCAACCCCCATTCCAAACTAGGAGTTAGAGCTGATGTTTGCCTACAGTGGATAAAGACCATATTAGTAGCCTGGCATCCTGACATAATAGCCAACCTGTCCATTCTGACATATGGCTGTCAACATAGAGGGGTTGCACCTAAGATGGGAGCATCATTAGGTTGTTAATGCCCTAATGGAGCATTACAGGCACTGGATCTGAAGACTGGGGAGGATTGTTCTATGTATATTTCTGTCTTTCTGTCTCTGGAGAGAAGAAAAGGGAATTTTAGGGTGAGTGCATTACATTCTTATTTCTAGGGATTGAAGAAAATATGGGGTATATTTTGTATGAAACTAGAAGAGAATTAAGATACACACCATGAACTAGTCATACATGAATAATAAAATATTGCCTTTCCTGCAAGATTTTTATTTATTATACTTTTTAGAGACTGCTCTGAAACTACCACAGCCCAAGCCATATGGCTATACTTTCCCCCTACAGTTATTTAGCATGTAGAAATTCCCTATAGGAGGTGAGCTCAACCTTTTTATGCTCCCCCAGAGGGATAACAACTTTCACCAGCTCCAAATGACTCAATCAGCTCTTCCTCATTTCCACAAGTTATGTTCCACATACACCGCAACCTCCCACAAAAAATAGCAAAAGAGGAACAGCTGGTCTGAGGCCATTAGGAACATAAGAATGACCATACTGGGTCAGACAGCATCTAGTGCCAGATGTTTCAGAGGTAATTAACAGAACAGGGCAATTATCAAGTGATCCATTCCCTGTTATGCAGTCCCAGCTTCTGGCAGTCAGAGGTTTAGGGACACCCAGATCATGGGGTTGCATCCCTGACTATCTTGGGCAATGCTCCTGAGGGGCCTATCCTCCATGAACTTACCTAAATCTTTTGTGAACCTTGTTATACTTTGACAACTTCACAACATCTCCTGGCAATGAGTTCCACAGGGTGATGGTGTGTTGTGTGAAGAAATACTTCCTTATGCTTATTTTAAACCTGTGGCATATTAATTTCATTGGGTGACCCCTGATTCTTGTGTTATGTGAGGGGGTAAATAACACTTCCTTATTCACTTTTTCCACACTATTCATGATTTTATAAAAAGAAGAACAGGAGTACTTGTGGCACCTTAGAGACTAACAAATTTATTAGAGCATAAGCTTTCGTGGACTACAGCCCACTTCTTCGGATGCTATATAAACCACTGTTTTTTTATTTTTTTA